CTGACTATGATTCCAATATCGGCGGCGGAGGGGTTCGCTCTGGTAGAGTGGGGGCCCATTAACTTTTACAATATTACATTTATTATTAAACAGTTTATTTATTTATCTTAAAATGTAATCTTTGAAAAACATTTTTATGTAATTTATTCACTACTCACAATTGTTATAATACATTATTTTAACACAAAGAATATTGAAGAATATTGAAAATCAATTTAACACAAAATATTAAAATAATCACAGTATATTACATAACAATAAGCTAAATTAACATTGGAATATATTAAAAATTTAACACAAAATTTTAACAAACTTGGAGTACAAATTAGTTCGGTCCGTTTTTTGGTGTTCAAAAATGCATTTATTTCAAAACAAAATGAATGAACAGATTAATTAGTATTGTCCGTCGCTGGCTACTACTTTTTCCCCATCTCTCAGGCAATTTTCGAATTCCATCTCGAAAAAATGACTCGTCTTTGGAGGCAATCCAATTTTGGAGCCAATTTTCGATTTCTGCGGAAGAAGTGAATCGGTGACTTGCCAAATCGTGCTGCATTTTTCGGAACAATCAGTAATCAGAAGGAGCAATGTTCGGAGAATACGGCGGGTGCGGTAAAACATCCCATTTGAGCGTTTCCAAATATTTTTTTACGACTTTTGCGACATGAGGCCGAGCATTGTCATGAAGAGAAATAACTTTATCATGTCTTTGCTCGTATTCCGGCCGTTTTTCTCGCAATGCACGGCTCAAACGAATCAATTGTAGCCGATACCGATCGCCCGTAATGGAATCGTCAGGTTTCAACAGCTCATAATAAACAACACCCTTTTGGTCCCACCAGATACAGAGCATGATCTTCGAATCATGAATGTTCGGCTTTGGTGTTGATGTTGAGGTCGATGGCAATGATTGACTGGGCTTAGCGTAGTATTTTTTCTTCTTGGGATTGTCATAAAATATCCACTTCTCACCTCCAGTCACAATCCGATTCAAATCGTCTCTCGGTTTTAGTTCATAAAGCACCCAATTTCCTTGCTTTTGAATTATTTCCATGGCTCTCAATCGTGCAGAAACGGTTTGTTGAGTTACTCCCAATGATTCTGCAAGCTCCTCTTGCGTTTGACTCTGACCTTCTTCGAGTAATGCCTCTAATTCTTTGTCTTCGAATTTTTTTGGCTGTCCAGAGCGAGGCTTGTTTTCAACGCTGAAATCTCCATCCTTGAAACGTCGAAACCATTCCTTACATGATTTATCAGTTTGAGTAGTGTCACCATAAACTTTGACAAGCAGTCGATGGGTTTCAGCTGCACTTTTCTTCCAATTAAAGCAGAAAATTAGAACCTCCCGCAAATGCTGCTTGGTTAACACAAAATTCGACATTTCAAACACAGTAAAAATCAAGGTTTTTGTATGAAATTCAAATCGATATAAACTGAATATTATTAGCAGATATTTAACGTCTCTGAAAACGCCAAAATCAGCTGTCACTATAAACCATTCACAACAGCCATCTTTTAGAAAACGGACCGAACTAATTTGTACTCCCAAAAAATCTCGCGAGTATCGAGTTTCCAATGACATTAAAAGACATTTCCAAATTCGAACATTTGAACGCGATATCGATCAATGTATACAGCATTGAAAATGAACAGATCCTTCCTCTGCGATTCACCCGCGATAAGAAGCACGTGAACATATTGTATCTGCAAGATCCACGCAACGACGGTGTCGGGCATTTTGCGTAAATAAAAAATCTGTTCCGTCTCGTGAATTCACAACTCTCGAAAAAGAAGCACAGGAAATTTCTACGACCGGTAAGTATAAGAAAAAAAAATTATAATTTTCCTTTTTACTAATAAACAATAATAATAATTTTCGGTTTTTTTTTCAGATGTCTTCATTACTTCGAGTCGGTCGAAAAATTACAGTAGTCGCATGCTGTGGACTGTAGCAAATTAAACGATTGTGTCATTCGATTGCCGAGCAAGGATGATAGGTGACTCAAATTCGGCAACTATAACAATCAGGAACGAGTGCCATTCATAATATACCGATTTGGAGTGTGCTCTAGATAGAACAGATAGGGATCCTGAATATCAATAACACAAAGTGTTTAGTATCGTGTATTATGTGCACTGCTCGTACGACAACTCGTTGTCGATGTATCGATGTCGTCGTGATTAAGAGTGTATAGTTCACGCAACAACTCAACG